AGCTGGGCATGGTGGCACACACCTTTAATCCCAGCACTTGGGAGGCAGACAGGCGGATCTCTGTGAGTTCGAGGCCAGCCTGGTCTCCATTAGTGAATCCAGGCCAGCTGCAACTACAGGGAAGCCTTGTCTCAAAAAGCCAGAAAAAAAAAAAAGGAAGTCAGTTGGGTCAGAGAACAGTAGGCAGAGTCCTAGCTGACAACCTCAGACCTAACACCTGGCAAGGGGTCTATTCTGCAGCGACCTGCTGTGGCTTCAAGGAAAGAAAGAATGGAGGCATTCCTCTCCCTTAATCCATCCAACCTGTCTAAAGGCATGAAGTCTGATTGCCAGTCATGTATTCCAGGATCTAACTGGAATGACTGAGTTGGGTGTTTGCAGATGTTGCAGATGGTGGGGTATGATCTGGGTATGATCTGGGTGCAATGGCACACACATGCCATGCAAAGTAGGGAAGACCAGTTTGGGTGGAGGAGGCCAAGGGTCACCCAAGGGAAGCCCCCTGTGGAAGAAGGCACTGGATTGAAGGAAGATCTGACCTGGTGGGGGTGAGACCAAGGTGAGCACAGAGTCAGACCCCTTATTCAGGAATAGGGCCTCCCAAGTGTTTAAAGAATAACCAGGAGGTGAATAATGGTATGGACCACCAGCTCCTGGGCGTTACTATGTGGCAGGCCCCAGGCTGTGGGCTGTGCTTCACCCCAGCCTTGCAGCATCCCATTAAGCCAAATCCCACATCAGGCCAGGCAGAGGCTAGGGCACAGGTCCTGTGAGGTCAGAACTCCCAGCTGCATCAAAGCCCCATAGGACAGCAGTGGCCGCAGCCCCCTTACGAAGCCTCAGTGGGCCACATCTGCCCCATGGCATTGTGGGAACTCTTCTCACAAGCAGTATCTTCCACGATGGGGAAGCTGAGGACAAACCAAAGACTGTTGAATGGCTCCGAGCCCTAAGGCAGCAAAGCTGACCAGAGCCTGCAACTTCCAAGATGCCCTGTCCAAGCTGTGGCATTGCTTGGTTACAGACCTAAGTGAGGGGCAGGGGCAGACCTACAACTAGGCTGTAGTAGCCCCATGGCTCAGAAAATACAGAGGCTCTGAACCTCTCGGTCACAGCTGGGAGGGAGCCAACAGGAAGGAACCCTGAAGCCTGGATATAGAGGGGACAGCTGGGTGAAGGAAGCGCAGAAAAACTTTCATAAGGGACAAGTCTGGGAGCCCATGGCACAACTGACTGGAGTGACTTGGACCTCCAGCAGAGACCATGTTCTCAGGGCTACTGTGGCCAGCACTAGGCCCTGTCTTGACTTTGACCAACACCCCCACCCCTCAATCCCATGTACAGCTATGGTCAGGCCAGAATTAAACACCTGCCTGAAATTCTGGATGCTCCTCTGAGTTGACCACCAACCCACTTCTTGAGGGGCTCAACTGTGGGGGCAGTATGGAGGCAGAGGTAGGTAGCCCAAACTAGCAGGACCCAGAAGCCCTGTATCCATGTCAAGGAAGCACAGAACTCTGGGACTGTCATGAATACCAGAGCCCATCATAGCTGGGCAGACCCCCCACTCCTGCAATATTTGGTTGTCTGGCTTTAAAAAATATATCTTATACCGGGCATGGTGGCACATGCCTTTAATTGTAGCACTTGGGAGGCAGAGGCAGATGGATCTCTGTGAGTTCAAGCCAGACTGGTCTACATAGCAAGTTCCAGGCCAGCTGGGGCTACAGGGAGACCCTGTCTCAAAAAGACAAAACAAATAAACAAAAATCTTATTTGTGTGTGCGTGTGTGTGTGTGTGTGTGTGCGTGCATGCACACGTGTGTATACCAGGGTGTATGTGTGAAGGTCAGAGAACATCTCTCAGAGGTCAGTCTTCTCCTGCCACCTTGTGGGATCCAGAGACTGAACTCAGGTTGTCAGGGTGTGCATAATGGCCTCTACCTGCTGAGCCATCTCACTGGCTTGTTTTTTGTAAAACAACTTTATTGAGATGTAACTTACCATACAATTTGTAGAATTTTTCACTGGCAAGGAGACACAGCCTGCTGCTTCTGGCTGTGCAGCCCAAGCTCTTTTCCAAGACCTCTAGTCAGGTGAAGCCAGGATCTTTTATTCCTTTGAGGCAAGGTCTCATTATGCAGCCCTGGCTGACCTTGGCCTTAAACTAAGAGATCCTCCTACTCTGCCTCCCAAGTGCTGGAATTAAAAGTGTGCATCATTGGGCTGGAGAGATGGCTCAGCAGTTAAGAGCACTGACTGCTCTTGCAGAGGACCTGGGTTCAATTCCCAGCACCCACATGGTGGCTACAAACCATCCTTAACTCTGGTTCCAGGGGAATCCGAAGCCTCTTCTCACCTCCGTGGTGCTGCACGACACAGGTGCACTCACATACATGCAGGCGATACACTCATACACTAAAAAAATAAACAAAATTTTTTTTAAAAAGTGTGCATCACCGGGCATAGTGGCGCACACCTTTAATCCCAGCACTTGGGAGGCAGAGGCAGGCGGATCTCTGTGAGTTCGAGGCCAGCCTGGTCTACAGACAGAGTGAGTTCCAGGACAGCTAGGGCTACAGGGAGACCCTGTCTCA